TTTCTTTCTTTCTTTCTTTCTTTCTTTCTTTCTTTCTTTCTTTCTTTCCGTTTTATCGTCTCCATCTAGCAATGGGGCTGTACCATTGTTAGGATATTTTTGTTCTTAATATACTTAAAAAACTCCCTATTGTTCTTAGCTCTGCCAGCCATGGATTTTTCCCAGCTGTCTTTAGCTTCCCTTATCAATTTTCTATACTTCATAACTTCTAATTTATATTGCTTGCTACCTATTTCCCCTTTATCCCCATTGTTATATGTTGCCAGAGACAAGATATTTGGTGTATTTGGATATGGATCCAAACTCTATCCTTGGCTCCCCTTCTTATCCCAGACTCTGAAAGCACAGCAGGTATCCCAAACAGCACCCTACTCCACTACAGCCCCATCAGTGTATCGTAGGCAGGAAGCTACGTTCTCACCGGGACTTTGTTGAGTGAGTTCACGATGCTCCTTTTCTCATTATCCACCATCACTCCAAAGAGCGCATAGGCTTGGCCTTGAACTGGCTTCCCATACAGGAACCTGCATGGAAAACAGACCATGGCAGGGAGAGAAAATACTCAGCATTACTCCTATTTAATGGATAGAGGAAACTGAGGCACAGAGGGGCTGGTGAGCCTGGCCCAGGTCACAAAGCCTGAACCATTTGAGCTAAAGAAGTAAATCCACTCACTGGTAGCGGTAGTAGGCTATTATCCACTTATGTGGAGCAGCCCCTAGGGAGAGACACAGCATGTAACCAATGGACTCCAGCACTGAGCCCATTAACAGGAGAAATAAGTGGATTACGAAGCTGACAGCAGGTATCTGGAGACACCGATGAATGCAGATTAGATCAGGTCAGGCTGTGAGCCGACCGTTAACCCAGGCGATTATATTTCATGCGCGAGCCCCAGAAGCCTGCCCCACAGCACTGAACCGCAGCAGAAGCACGAGAGAGAAAGAGGGGGACCCACTTGGCTGTAATGTCGATACTAAGCTCATTCTGATCAACGAGGAAGAACTTCTGGGAAGGCTCCAGCGTCACTTCGAAACTAGGCAGCACTGCAAAAGATCAGAGACATCGCAAGAGTCACCCGAGGGCCCGGAGCCATCAGGCTGGAGGTCAAAACCCCCAGGGGAAGGGGGTTCTAGGAGACGAAAGGGAACCGGTGTCCAAGATACACAGTGGGAGCGGGAGAGACTCTCCCAGGAAGCAGCTGATGGCCATAAGCCATGGCGAGATGGATCAGCAAAGGCAATCGGAAGGTTGGGACTGATTTGGACACCCCAGGTGCTGGGTCTCTCGGATGCTCTCCCTGTAGATAGCTGGCCCTCGGGAACCTCACTGCTAAGAGGTGCTTCCCCTAGGAGTGTGGTCCTCTGCTGCTACGTCAGCCTTTCTCCCAGCGGGCTCTTCTCCTTCAGTCAATGAGAGACAAGCCCGACGGGGGGCGGATTTTACATCTAGCTGCTGCAGCTCTAGCTGGGAAGCGTCTATGGCTCCTGGCATGTCTCTATCCTCTCACTTATTCCTGAAGAGGTGGCTGATGGGGCTTAAGAACCACCTAGAAGGTGGGAAGGACTGAGGCCCTACACAGCTTGCAGCTCACCCCCAAACTCAGACAATCTTCAGGCTCCTATCCCTGCTCACCCTGTAGTATCGGACCACAACATACCCCCTCTGCTCAGTGCCCTAAGAAACTCCACTGTCACATGGACCCTCATCGAAAGGGGCCTCCCCAAAGCTCTTCCCACTATGCCTGGGAGGTGGGAGTGGAAGGGATTGAAATTCCTCCTGGATCCCAAAACCAGCCCGCCGTTCAGCTGTGATAAGGAAACACCCTCCTGTTAGGGGCAGGGCAGGTACCATATTCCTTGACTTCAAACTCCGCGGTGAAGGCCTCCTGAGGGGCATGCTCGTACTTGGAGACAATCTTCCACACTCCGCTGCTGCAAGACACAAGCCCAGATCATGCGGTGGGGAGAAGGATCTATCTAGCTCAGTCAGGCTGGTGCGGTATGCTATTGGAGCTAAAGCGCTGGGCTGGAACTCAGGAGATTGGCATTCTGGTTCTAGTTCTGGGAGGGGAATGGGGTCTAGTGGTTAGGGCTGGGAGTCAGGACTCCTTTGTTGTGTCTTCAGCTCTGGCAGGGGAGTGGGGTCGAGTGGGTTAGAGCAGGCGGGCACCAGGATGCCTGGGTTCTATCCTGGCTCAGGGAGGGGAGTGGGGGCTAGTGGTTAGAGAAGTGGGGGCTGGAAGTCAGTACTGCTGGGTTCTAGTCCCAGCTCTAGGAGGGGAGTGGGGTCCCGTGTGTTAGAGCAGGGTGGGGCTGGAGCCAGGGCTGCTGGATTCTAGTCCCAGGTCTGGGAGGGGAGTGGGGTCCAATGCATTAGAGCAGCAGGGGCTCTGGGTCCCACACCCAGCCCTGCCGCAGACACCATGTGTGACCTTGGACAAGTTCCCGAGGGGCAGATTTTCCAGCAGAGCTCAAGCTCAGCTCTCAGTTAGGCACAACTTGTCCTGGGCTCTTTTGATACAAATCTGGCCATACTGGGAGCAGATTAGTACTAAGTGCTTGAAAAACCTGAACCTTAAATCTCTCTGGGCCTCAGTTTTCCCATCTGCAAAATGGGAATACTAATATTTTGACACCTCCCTAGGGTGTTGTGAGAATAGCACAATGCAGTCAGGTATCCTAGGGATGGGGGAAGCTGACAAGTAAATAGATAGAGACATCCTTTCCTTAACTGGAGCCTGCGACATTAAAAAACAAAAAAACCCTTGGGAGACAGAAGTAAAAAATGGGCAATTATTCTATAGAAAATTTGGTGGCACAGTGTAACAAAAACACATTGGAACGCTGATGTGCGTAAGCCACGCCCACTTAGTGTCTAAGCCACGCCCACTCTGTGTGGTACTCTGTCCCCCTCTAGTGGTGGTGAAGGCCCATACAGAGATTGAGGTGCCTGCTACAGCCTTCGCTAAGAAAGCTGATCCGTGTAGATCAGGAAGTAGAGGCTCACATATGCAGATCCTATTATAACCACCTTCCCCTGGTTGTTACAGCTTACTTCACAATATCAGGGATCTTGTAGCTCCTGGAGACGATGCCGCCTTGGTCCATGGAGGACACCGTATTCTTCTCTACAATAATCCCATCTGGATTCTGAAACCAAGCACCAGAAAGAATCAGTCTGAAACCACCGTGCAAGGTGCTGTACATTATTTATTAGATGTATTACTGTAGTGCCTAGGAGCCCCAGTCACGGACCAGGCCAACTCACCAGCCAGCTACATCCAGGAAGCTCCCTCCAGCCCAGGTATTTCAGTCCCTTTTCCCAGGGACACATTTACATTTCATCCACAGTTCAATGCCAACCAGAACAGGTATCTGTCCCCTCCCACTGCCTCTACAGTAGCTACCCCCAGCCTGGTTTTTCACCTCGCTGGGATGCAGCGAGCCCAGTTCTGGGTCCCTTCTCTGATCCAGGGTCTCCTGACACAGCCCAGAGTCCTCTCTCTCAACTGAGTTACTTGCTGGCTTCTATTGGACCAGAAGACGGTCAAGCTATCACCTGATGCAGGGCCTCAGGGTATCAGCTGAGAGACAGCTGGTTAGTCAAAGGCAGGACTGGGTCTAACTCCTCTTAAAGGGCCAGCCACCCCCCCTGACAAGCGGTTAGCGCAATCTCCTGGCCTCTAGGCTTGCTGGTCCATGAAAGGAAGTGAAGCAGAGAGATCTGCAGAGGAGGAAAGCTGAGTAAATAGAAAGCATCTTACCATGAGCTCCACAGATACCACCTTCAAGATGGGGTCCAACATGTGACCCACAGTGAAAAGCCGGTACCTCACTACAGAAAGAGAAAGATGGGGCAGTCAATCGGCACAGGCGGGGGCAATTGTGGCAATAATGGGACCTAGCCCAGGAACTAGCAACTACATCTATTAGATGTTAAGGCTAGAAGGGACCACTGTGATTGCCCAGTCCAGAGTTTCGCCACACGACGCCTCACCCCATTACATTTACCATTGCTCAGTGCTAACACTGAGGTGTAACTGGGTGTATTTCGAGAGGTTGACAGAGAACACTTGACCTTGACGGGGAAGAGGGCGCGGGGAATGGAGGAGCCAGATTTCCTCAGTTCCAAATTGTTAGAACATTTTACAGGCAGAGCCACCACCAGAAGCAGCGCAGAAGTAAGGGTGGCCTGGTATGATCTTGTCCCACTTACTTCTGTGCTGCTGCTAGCGGCAGCGCTGCCTTCAGAGGTGAGCAGCCAGAGAGCAATGGCTGCAATAATCCCCTCCCCCTCCAGCTGGCTCTTCCCCCCCCAGTAGTGTCCTCTATTTGGGAACTTGAAATATGGTAACCCTATCTGAAGACATCAAGAGATGGAGAATCTACCACTTCCAATAGTTAATCACCCGCACTGTTAAAAAACGTGTGTGCCTTATTCTGAAAAAAGAATCTTAAAATGCTTTGATTTGGCGCTACAATTCTAAGGGCCAATTTCTGTCTTTGTTTACATGTTATTTGCTGTTACGGCAGTCTAGGGTGACCAGATGTCCCTATTTTATAGGGACAGTCCCGATATTTGGGGCTTTTTCTTCTATGGGAGCTTATTACCCCCCACCCCCGTCCCGATTTTTCACACTTGCTGTCTGGTCATCGTACGGCAGTCCTCTCTAAATGAGAGATGTCTGTATATATGAATATAGTTAGTTCACAGATCAGATGACACGCCCGAATATGTAGCATAGTTCCTCTGGCTTCTTGTTGTGCATTCTTCACCCACCCCACCCCACTGAATTCAGTCCCTCTGAAAATCAGGCACTTGCGGAGGGAGTGGGGGGGAGTAGGAACCCAATAAACGGAGGTGCTCATAATTCGCAGCCACTTCTGAAAATGTTGACCCATGTGTGTAGATGTTGACATAAAGATAGAAGAAAAGGCCCGGCCAAGAACTGACCTGTAGACCCAGGCGTGTAGATGGTCTTATCCGTCTGGATGAAGATGTAGCCGCTGTGGAATGAAAGCAGAACCACCTTCTCTAAGGTGAACAGGCTGCTCTTGGCTTCGATGTAGACATATTCCTTCTTCTGGGCATCCTTTGGCAGTAGCTGAGCAGGAACCTGGAGCATCGTTATATCATGGGAGAAGATCTTTCATTATGACCCGAACTCTCAGCTACTGAGATTTTAAAGCCATTGGTAGAACTGGGAAGTCACTGCTGTATTCACTGACTTATACCAGTGCCCTTACTCCATCTCTCTGCACCTGGGTTGCCTTTGGCTTGGGCTACCTTGAGCAGTCTCCACCATGAGCCAATCTGTCCTTCCCCTCACCTAAGTCACTTAGGTGCTTTGGAAAATGTTCCCCCTGGTTTTAAGGGGAAAAGGCTTGGTATGCCATGACCTCAAACCATCCAGTTCTCTTCTGATTTACCATCTTACAAGACAGAGGACAGGGTCCCTCCCCCCCTAGATAAACATAGCCTCCCACAGCCCCACCTTAATTTTGGCAGAGTTCATCATGCCGTTCCCAGGGTTCAGGCTGACTGTGGTTGAAACCAAGGCACTCTTCTTCTGTGGGAAGTCGTACACGGTGATCCTCGCCTCGATCGGGCTGTGGTGGCCATGAGCTTCCACAATCACCATCTCTTCGCTCTCCACACGCAGGACGCTTGGGGTGATCACCGTGCATCTGGTAAGGGAAGGGATGAGATGGTAGAGCAGAATCAGCCAAACTCCATGTCTCTGCACCTGGGTTACCTTTGGCTTGGGCTACCTTGAGCAGTGATCTTTGCCGCTATCGGAAGGTAAGCAGCTGGGGCCTGGTGGTCAGACGTTGGATAGGAGACCTCCAAGAAGCTACCAGGTTTCTATAGGAAGTGAGTGGTTCTCAACCTATTTATCATTGTGGGCCACATATGCGGCCCACAAAGTGTTACCTGGACCAAAGGTTGAGAAGCACAGTGCCCCCCACAAACCCCTATGCTCAATGCCCTCCGCCCAGAGACCCCGCCACAGAGTGGGGCCAGGAGTGGAGAGCTGGGCATGGGGCAGGGATCCTAACCCCAGACCCTGCTGCGCGGGGACCCCTGACCCCCACTGTGGGGGGCAGCCAAGACCCTGAACCCAGACCCCACCAGGTGGGTAAACCGAGGCACGGAATGCTCATGTGACTCATCCACAACGGGGCAGTGATAGAATTAGGAGTGTTAGAACCCAGGAGTCCTGACTCCTGGTCGTTGTGCTCTAAACTCTGGAAAATATTCCCAAGCTGTTCTGAGAATCAGGCTAGGAGCTAGGACTCCTGGGTTCTCTGCTCTAAATGCTGGACAATATTCCCTCGCTGTTCTGAGAATAAAACCCAGGAGTCCAGACCCCTAGTTCCCTGTTTCAACCAATAGACTTCCCATGTACATGGACACAGCTTCCCACACTCAGAAGCAGAACCCAGGAGACCTTTGTCTCCTGCCTTGATTATGCAAATAAATCAGACAATTTGCACCTCTTATGTTTATATAATTTTTTTTTGGCCTATATTTCTTTTCTTGCTCATTCTTTGTGTCTGTATTTTTATGTCTAGCCTGTTTGTCAGAGTTGTTTTAGTTACGTTCACAGGCAAGAAAGGGCTGAAATGTATCTTCTTTCTTTTTTTGCAACGGGAGAAGCCAGCGTCACATTGCAGCAATCTGCAAATTCAGATTATTTATTAGGTATATTACAGTGGCACATAGGAGCTGCCCCCCTTCATTGTGCTAGGCGCTGTACGAACAAAAACCAAAAAGTCCCTGCCCCAAAGATCTTACAGTCTGATTATTTATTGTGTGTATCACAGGATCACCTAGAGGCCCCGATCAAAAATGGGGGGTACCTGTAGGTGCTGTGCACCCGTATAACAAAGAGACAGTCCCTGCCCCGGAGAGCAACATAAGCCTGGGGGAGGGACGGGTCAGAGTTGGAAAGTTAAGCACATGAGTGTTTGCAGGTTCAGGGCCTGAGTATTAGGGATGTTTACCTCGGCTTCAGCGTTGGCTTTGAATTTCCTGTCAATTTCAGGGGTAAATTTGGGGCAGCTGGTGCTGTATCCCCCAGACACAAAACTCTGGTCACCTCCTTTCCACCTTGCAAACATTCAGTGCTTAGAACTGTCCCATTGCAACAGCCATGTTGTGGGGCAGCCTCCTTCCATGCACCTCCTCCTGGCCTCAAGCCAGTCCAGCAGGCAGCCCCCTGCCTCAGTTTCCCCCTTTCGAGGGGCTTCTGCAATAACTCACAAGCCCTTTCACAGCCCATCTCAGGTTTGGGTTTATTAAATTAACAAATATTTCTAAATAAAGTTTGCCAGTCCTTCCTCAAGTGCATCCATGCGCACCTCTTTATCAGGTCACCCCCAGACTTTTCCTGCCTGTTGTCCCACTCCCCAAGTCTCAGCTGGCTCCACTGGAGTCTACTCACACCCTGCAGTCTCAGTAGCCAATGATGTTAGTTTAGTATCCATTTATTGTGTGATATTATGATTAATCAATATGTTATAGTACATATATTCATTGTATTTTCACCACAGTTGATTTGTAGGACTATAAAAGCATAAGATTGATCAGTATTTAGAGGAACTATGTAGTAGACATGAGTAAGACAAGCTGAAATGTAAGAACCTGTAGAGTGAGGCCTGCAAGACTTTAGCGTAGCTATTTTAGGCCTTGGAGACAAGAAATGAATGCGAAAGTCCATGACCGAGAAATAACCCGAAAACTTATGGGAAAGAGGTACCAACTGGTAATATTGTGAAAGTATAAGGTCTTAAATTTAAATAATAAATGCTGTAACAACAGATATTATCTCTAACACATGCCTTAACTGCAAGAATAAGGTGGTACGCCAACGTTAATGAGAACCTACACTGCCTATAGAATTTGGGGTCCCTTGTGTTTCCAGGAGACACAGACCAATAAGAAAGAGTGGGTTGGGGATGCCCAGAGCGGAAAATTGAGCTTCCTATGGGAAACTCCCGCAGGAACCACTCCCATATTGATCAATCCATGAGCCGGCCCACAGACCCTAACACCATCTAGGAGGATGTGAGTATGTCGGTAGGTATAACTAGTACATGGTACTTATCTCTAGGAATTGTATATACAGTGACATTTATAACTTTGTTGGTAACTTCAATAAAACTACTAAAAGACAGACGCTCTTGTAATTGTCGGTGTTATTTGCCTGTGGTTTCACGTGTTCCTATGAACTCTAGATCTAGAACAAACAGAGATAACTCTGTTGAACTTGAGACTGAAGCCAACAGAGCTGATCCCACTGAAATAGGATTAACATTAAATAGAATAAAAGGCTCCTTCTCCCTAGAAATTCCCCTCTCTCCACATTCCTGCTGCTCTAAGCTCTTTGCAGGGAAATCAGCTGACCCTTGCTCAGGTGAGCCACCTTAGTAATTAGGGTTGTCTGGCCCCAGGCCTCTAGCCCTTCACAGGCCAGCCACCCACAAGCCCCATCCCACATGCAGAGTCAAAACTGACAGCATGCGGCCAGTGTTGCCAACTCTCATGATTTGACTGCACGGCTCGGAAGATTTGGTGTTTGCCTTGAAGCTCCAGCTTCCCAGAGTCCTGTGAATGTGTGAGGATCTCGGCTTTTGTTGACATCAAATGGAAGTTTCTAGCACTGCTGATGGGGAAGAAAGCTTGAAAACGTGGCCTGAGCATGACCCTAAGAGGCTCAGAAACCCAAAGATAAATAAAAAGAACCCCCAGTTTGTTGTTTTTATAAAAATCTTGTGAGTGTCCAACCAATCCCGTGATTTTGGGGGCCTGACTTGTCTTTTGAAGGCTTTTCAGCAGTGGCTAGTCATTTGGGTCCCTTGAGTTTTCAGCACCTTTATAAGGGGTCTTGGGTTATAGATCACCTGCTCCTCTGAAAATCAGGCTTCGAAAGCACGTCAAGTTGGGAGCCTAAAAACTGCAGCCCCCCAACTCCCTATTGTGAATCTTGGCCAGGGTCTCTTCAGGGAAAATCCCCATTCCCACACATACACTATGATCTCCACTGATCATTGCTTCAGAATCCCCGGGTTACTTACAGCGGCTGGCCGTGAGACAGGGCTGATAAGCTGAATGCAAACACAGCCAGCAGGTAGATAGTAGATCCTCCCATGGCACCAGAAGAAGCCACTTCTCCCAGAAACATCTGCTTTTTGTTCGGATGCCTCTTCTGTTGTGAGCTAACCCCCGGGCAGTGGTTAATATATAATTGCAGAAGCTCCCAGACCCCCAGCACTAACTTGATCTCAGTACAGGGGAGGTGGGGTGGGTTAGCGTCCCTGCCGCTCAGTCGGGAAGCAGAAGAGGCTACTTTAAGAGGATGATCTTAGTGAATTTCATGCTGGGGGAAGGTACTAGACCAATGGATTGATGGTCTCTATTTATAGCCAGGGGTACAGGACGTCCCTGGGCTATGTGCCTCCACCCCTAATCTAGGAGATAAGGCCCTCTATTGGCAGGATGGGCAATTTCAGCTCTCTGGTCCATTCCACTGCCTACTTGTGCCTGTGGTTTTGTAATGCGGGCGTGTTTTATCTAGGTATTGCACAGAGAAGTCCCCCTCCCTCCGCCCAACATTTCAGGTGGCTAAAGCAGGACGCAGCGCCACTCAGGTGTTTGGCCCACTCGCCCTCTTTGGACGGAGGCAGACAAGCCAAATGTGAGTGATGTTGCAGCCTAGCACCCGGGCTCACTACGCCACTCACGTTTGGCTCGTTCGCCCCTCCGTAGGTGGCGTCAGAGGGGCGGGCAGGCCAAACCTGAGCGACACTGCAAACCCGTGCACCAGGTCGCAGTGCCGCAGAGTTTGAGGGCCCCTCAAACTGGGGGCCCAAAGCAAACAGCCCCTTTCGTCCCTCCCCTCTGGGCGACCCAGAATGCAGGAAATGTTCACTCCAACCAGGGCAGGGAGTTTGGGGAGTGTCAAAGTGGGACAGTCCCATGAACCCCAGGGCTGTTGGGAGGTCTGGAACACCTGTCCCCCCATTCCGGAATGACTTTCAGACATTTGGAGGGGAAATGAACCTTTTTAATGACATTCAGCCAAACGACAACCCCCTCAACAACCTGCACGTCCTGCCCGTTCCCTGGCAATGCAGTGACGGGGAGGGAGCAGAGTCAGGGCTTAGAGATGCTGGCACAGAGGCAGGGTGGGACAATTGTGCTCTGTACAATCCACAGAGATCGTACTTGCCAAGGGAAACCTGTCTGTGCCATAAGGTCTTGTTTACCTTCTACATCAAGGAAGCACCAGGAAGGGGAAGAAAGATGATCTTGTGGTTAAGACACAAAACTAAGGAGTCAGGACTCCTGGGTTCTATTTCCAGCTCCAGGGGGAGAGTGGGATTGAGTGGGCAGAACTGGCCTGTGGTCTATTCCTAGCTGAGGGAGGGGAGGGTTATCTAATGGTTAGAGAAGGGAACTGAGGGTCAGGACTCCTAGCTTAGAGAGGGCACTGCGATCTATGCGTTAAAGAAGAGGATGAGTAGTCAGGGCTCTGGGTTCTACTCCTTGCTATGGGAGTATGGTTTAATGGCTAGAGAAGAAGGGGGCGGGGCAGGACACCTGGTTCTGTTCCTGTCATGGGCTTGCTGTGTGATATTAGCCAAGATGCTCAGAACCAAAATAGCAAAAGCAGCCTTTAATTCTGAATGCCTCCGTTTTTGGGGGTGCCCAGTGTAAGCTATGAAGGCCTGAGTTTCACAGGGGTTCAGCGTCCGCAGAGCCCATTGTCAGCGCGGCCCAGGACACAGCGATCCTACCGGGGAACCTGAGAAACAGCCAACCCTGGGGAAAGGAAGTTGGCCTGGGAAGCCTGGTATCTGGTTATTGGTTTGCTAATAAAGCCAACTTCCAGGAAGAGAGTTCAATTGGCCGTGTGTAATGTGTTTGGAACAGGCTGGGGATGCCACCTGGTCACAGGTTCCCAGAATCCTCCTCACCAAAGCGATGAACCTCAGATTTGGAGAAATCTCTGAATACGTTTGAGAGTTAAAATTCCTCTATTTCCCATCAATCCTGGGTAAACAGTGAAGAAATCAAAGATTGTGCAGGGTTGACAGGAACTGGCAACGCCAGAGCTGACGTGGATTCAGGAATGGGAGAGTATCTGGGGGAGAGTGGGGGAAGTGCCTTGTATCTTCCAGTGTAGCAACATGTTGGCATTTCCTTGTAATCTCTGTGGACGTGAGGTGCAGGGCATGCCGGTCTCTTAGGAAACCTCAGGAAAAGAAAACTCAGCAGTTGCCTGGCAAAGAGCAACAAAACAAAAGCTCTTCTGTATGTTAAAAGGGCTGGGTGTCAGGATTCCTGGGTTCTGTTCCAGCTCTGGCAGGGGAGTTGGGTCTAGTGGTTAGAGCTGTGTGTATACTGGGACTCAGAACTCCTGGGTTCTGTCCCAAGTACTGGGAGGAGAGTTGGGTCTAATGGTTAGAGCAGTGTGTACCCTGGTACTCAGGACGGCTGGGTTCTAGCCCCAGCACAGGGAGGAAAATGGGGTCTAGTGATTAAAATAGGGAAATGAAGAGTCAGGACTCCTGGGTTCTAACCCTGGCTCTTGATTTGGAGTGGTTCCTCATTTTCTTTTCACCCACGTAGCTCGGAAGACACTTTGCATGTTCAGTGCCCTTTACAAACACGGTCACTGCCCTGGGAGGAAGACAGGGGAGTAAGCAGACTCCAAAGTTCCTACCAATTGGTATTAAGCCACTAACCACATGAAGACAGGATCAGGGGAACTCCTGGCTGTCAATTCCCTTCTCAGTCCACTGCAATCTCACAAATAAGGATGCAACACACTTGTATAGCGGGCAGAGCCGGCTCCAGGTTTTCTGCCGCCCCAAGCGGGAAAAAACAACAACAACACAGCAGCACGATTGCGCTGCTCCACTCTTCGGCGGTGGGTCCTTCGTTCAGAGATGGACTGAAGGACCCGCCGCCGAAGGCCCGGCTGTGCCGCCCCAAGAGCGGCCGGAGTGCCGCCCCTTGGTATTGGCCGCCCCGAGCACCTGCTTCCTTAGCTGGTGCCTGGAGCCGGCCCTGATAGCAGGTGTGGTCCTGTCACTCTCTAGTGGCTGACCCCCAGGACTACTACAGTCGCTTGCTCATTACGCATTGCTAAGGTGAGACCAAGTAGCAGGAGATGTTGTGTTTGGCTCACAGGCCCCATGTTGGAATCTCACCCGGTGGAGGGCGCTCCCTACCTTACAGGACTGGATCCAAAGCGTGGAGGCTAAATACAGTATGGGGAGAATCTTGCAATATTCCTTCCCTAAAGCACTATCAAGACGCACAAGAATGTGTGTTTCCCAGCTGACGCAGCTAAGACAGCGGGTGAGCTGTAAGGCGTCCAGATGCTAGCAAACTGGCATGCAAATAATCCCATCTGCAAATACTGGGGCTGTGATGAACTGGGACTGTTCTTAATGTGGTCTTTGAATGCTGAGTGGGGAGTGTTGGCTGGGAAGGCAGGGGAGGTTGGCAAGGACGGTCTGCATTGGGGGATGGGAGACTGGCCTTGAGGGAAGATACCTGAGCATGTAACATGAGAACCCAGGAAGGGGTTAGAGGCCAGGTGACACCTTTGCCCGGGAAACTGAACAAAGGCTGTGGGAGGGGTCGCTGAAGGGAGAGTTTCAGGAGCTGGCTGGTGGAATGGCTGGGAGGCAGACGGGGCTCTGACCTCCCAAGGGGGCTGGGGTGCCCTGGGACCCCAAGATGGATCTAACTGAGGGGGATCCTGTTGTCTGTGCCTGCAAGACCTGTCTTGGACTGTGTTCCTGTCGTCTAAATAAACCTTCTGCTTTACTGGCTGGCTGAGAGTCATGGTAAATCGCAGGAAGCCGGGGGTGCAGGGCCTTGTGTCCCCCCACACTCCGTGACAGGGGCATGCAATTAAACACAATGATATGGCATGCCAATAAACCAATATGCAACCCCCTCCCCCCCCAAAACTGATATGCAAATTAGCAGCATGCAGCAAAGCTAATGGGGTTCTTCAAGCTTTACTCTGAGCACAGTAATAGCTTCTAGCCCCTGATACTAAGGCACTACCTTTTACTGAAAATCCCCATAGGTTTCCCCTTCTCATGTTCCCCTTGTTTGCACATTGCAACAGGGACCTGTTGCCCAATAAATCCTTCCTCGCTCGAGTATTGAACCCAGTTCTTTATCCAGCCGAGATCACAGTCCACCCATGTGTTTGTTCAATAACAGGCGCAGGTTGTCTGTGGGTTGGAGGGTCAGGGCCATGTTCATCTGAATCTATCTAATATTAAATTATTCAATGTGAAAGGTGGAATTCAGCAGCGTGCAGTCCCCGGATATTTCACGCAGCAGCTACCAGGTGGCTCGTTAATCCTGCAAATCGCCCATATTGGGCACACTGCATTTCTTTTACGTTCTTTCTGTAGCAACTTGTGGCAAATAGTATAAAGTGCAGATCTTAAACTGCAGTTCCTGGGGGTCGCCTCAGGCTAAACTTACGGTTATGACGTCTATTTCTCTTTTCCACGTCGCACTGTTTGGCTTTTGTGTTTTCATGTTTCACTTTTCATCATCGCTCTGATCTCACTGAGAGCTTTGTTTTCATGTGTTGAAGAGCAGCGCACTTGAGTGCAGGCTTTGTGAAATAGGGCCCAGAAATAGTTTTGGGGAAATGCCTGGACTCCTCCTCTTACCTAATCCCCTGACTTCCGACTAGATTTTTCAGGAGTTCCTTTCCTGACCTTTCAGAAGTATGCGCTGAAGTGAACCAAATACTTTATTTCATAAATTGAAATACACCCCTTGAAATCTGCTTGCTGTTCTGGTCACCCCATCTCAAAAAAGGTGTATTAGAAATGGAATAGGTATAGAGAAGGGCAACAAAAATGATTAAGGGATTAAGCTTCCATATGAGAAGAGATTAAAAAGTCTGGGGCTCTTCACCTTGGAAAAGAGCTGACTAAGGAGGGATATGACAGAGGTGTATAGAATCAGGACTGGTTCGGAGAAAGTGACTAAGGAAGTGTTATTTACCCCATCACATAACACAAGAACCAGGGGTCACCTGATGAAATTAATAGGCAGCAGGTTTTAAACAACCAGAAGGAAGTACTTCACACATCAGGCAGTTAATCTGTGGAACTCATTGCCAGGGGATGTTGTGAAGGCCAAAACTATAATGGAGTTCGAAAAAAGAACTAGATAAGTTCATTGAGGATAGATCCATTAATGGCTATCAGCCAAGATGGTCAGGGATGCAACACCATGCTCTGGGGGTCTTTAAGCCTCTGACTGCCAGACGCTGGGACTGGACGACAGGGGATGGATCACTTGATAATTGCCCTGTTTTATTCATTCCCTTTGAAAC